CTGCTCCATCCCTTCTATCCATCGGCAACTCCGCTCTGGCGCACCCACCCAGACGTGTCGGTGGGGCGGGCTGGGCGTTGCGCCTCAGACTTTCTTACCATGTATGGCCCTGACTTCCTGAAATCGCAAATGTCCAAACATGTATAAACATGCTCACATACGGTGTTCAGCGTTTGGCGCTGACTTCAGCGCCGCGCATACTCCTCTTAACAATTGCGGCAATTTGAAGAATGGTTGAGAAGTCGTTCCCAAACTCTGGCTCTCGCCTGGGCCCCGCGCACATTGTTCTTACAAATCTGCAGCAATTGCAAAGATGAGGGACGGTTCCGTTTCAAACTGTGGCCCTCGCGCCTCAACGCTGCGCACCGCCGCCGTAAACGGTTTCAGTGGTGGAAGACATATGAACCCAGGCCCGGCAGGCGCACAGACGCCCGTGGATCAGCGACGCCACGCTGGAACTGCCGCAAGCCTCCGCAAGCCTTCGGGATATCACAGGGATGCCGGGATGCCCGCTGTCGCCCTTTCTCTTCTCGATCGTGATGACCGTGCTGATGTTCGATGCGACGCGCGGCATGCGCGGCAGAGGCATTCATCAAGATAGCCGGCTGCACCTGAGCGAGTTGATCTACGCCGATGATACTTTGATTGTGGGTGTGACAGAAGAGTACGTCCGCTATCTCATGGAGAGCATCAGAGAGCACCAATTACGGTTTATCCTTGAATTGGGGCAAGCTAGAGGTAATGCCAGTTCGCTGCCAGACACAGCTCCTCCGTCCTGACGGCCAACCGATCACCCAGAAGGATAGTATGGTGTATCTGGGGGCGCTGCTCCACGCAGACGGAGGGAGCGGAGCAGAACTCAGTCGGCGCATCGGCATGGCGCGGCAAGGTTTCGATACGTTGTGCAGACTGTGGAGGCATACAAAGATATGTCTGCCCAAGAAGGTCATGATGTTTGAAGCCTGTGCCATTTCCAAGCTGATGTACTGCCTGCACACCCTCTGGTTGTTTCAGGCAGAGAGATCGCGACTGGACGCCTTCCAAGCTCGGTGCCTGTGAAGAATCGCTGGCATCCCTCACTCCTATCTCAGCCAGATGTCCAACGCAGCCGTGCTGGAGAGGTGTGGCAGGAATAGTTTGACTTCCAATTTAGCTTGCAAGCAGCTCGAACTAATGGGCAGGATCGCTTGTCTCCCAGACGACCATGTATCACGATGAACGGTATTCCAACCAGGGTCGTTCCGCCCTTTCGGGCCCCGGAGGCGAGACAGACCGAGGAATTCATGGAAGCGCAATGTGTCTGACTTGGCCTGCGCAGCGGCTGGTGGCCGAGACGCCTTACAGGAGCTATGGCGGCATGGACCTGGCGACTGGCGCGGAGTCGCAAGGCGCTATTGTTCACAGCTCTAGCATTCAACAGATATGGATTGTTTGTCTGAATCTGGAGTGGACTGTCTCTGCTTACGGGGTGGTGGGAGAACCACTCACATGGACTGAAACAGCGTGAGCAGTGAGCCTGCCAGTGCTCTTTCCTCCTCGCCCTCCTCCTCCTCCTCCTCCTCCTCCCCCTCGTCTTTTTGCAGGGCATATTCCTGTTTCGCAGCCGCGCCTCTGGTAGCAGAACTTGCTGTTACACTTGTTTGCCAACGCACCTCTGACGTGCACGGCGCTTCTCTCTCTCTCTCTCTCTTTGTCGGAGGTGGGGGGGGGGTAAGATCGACGTGGAACGCGGAGCCCCCCACCAGGAAATCGGTTTCAATTTCGGGTTCGTGTCGTGCGTGCGGGCGAGGCGAATCTACCGGGGGGGCAAGAGGAATGACCCCGCTGTGGCTAGGGCGGGTCAAGAGCCGTTGACCGCCCCTCCTCCCTCCCCTGTGGGCGGGCGGTGGGCGGGTTGTCCCGCCGCGGTGTCCTGTCGGTGTCCCGTCGGTGTCCCATTGGTGTTCCGTCGCTGTCCTGTCGCCGTCCCGTCGGTGTCCCGTCGGTGCCCCGTGGCTGTCCCATCGATGTCCCGTCGGTGCCCCGTCGATGTCCCGTCGGTGTGCCGTCGATGTCCCGTCGGTGTGCCGTCGGTGTCCCGTCGGTATTCCGCCATGTCCCGTGGTGTCCCGCCGTGGTGTCCCGATGGTGTCCCGTGGTGTCCCGTGGTGTCCCGCAGTGTCCCGAGGTGTCCCGTGAGATCGATAGTGAGATCGATAGTGAGATCGATAGTGACATCAGTAGTGGGATCAATAGTGATATCGATTGTGAGATCGATAGCGAGATCGACAGTGACACCGATCGTGAGATCGAAGTGACATCGATAGTGAGATCGATCGTGAGATCGATCGTGAGATCGATCGTGAGATCGATAGTGAGATCGATAGGGAGATCGATACTGGGATCCGTAGTGGGCTCAATAGTGAGATCGATGATGATAGATATTGTGCGATCGATAGTGAGATCAATTGAGTGAGGCGTTGGTTCCTCTCCCCCCGACCCTCCTTATCGCCGGAAGGGT